TATTTAGATTCTGTATTAAATATCTTGATTAAATTTTTTTATTAATTTTTTTGCTTATTTACTAATCCTCTATTATTTATTATAATATTTTTATAATATCTATTATACTTAGTATTTGTATACACATCTAAATACTCTCTTAAATAATTATCTATTTACTTTACTTATTATCTTGCTTGCTGCCTTACCTCTTATTCTACTTTTATTATATTTATTACTACCTGTATAGCTTAATTATTTAAATTCTCTATTTCTAATCTCTCCTCTTTTAATAACTCTTATTAAAGCAATAAAAGCCTGTATATTTAAATATAGAAACTAAACTCCAGGAGATAAGTCCCAGTACTCTTATTATTTATTCAAATTTATATAAGTAGATATAAAATAAAAATATTTATATTTACTAAAATTATTAAAGGCCAGGTACTATTAGAAGCCTAATTTAAAAATAGCTATTTTATTTATAAATTCTAACTCAGAAATAAGCATCTCCATAGAATAAATAAAGTTATTAAGATATATTGATCTTTTTATATAAAGTACAAAGCGGGTTGTTTATTATATATATTTTAATAATAAAACATTCATATAATCAAGAAATGTAATTAGATCTTATATAATATTTTTAATGTTATATTTCTAGATCTCCTTTCAAAATACATTATATTTTCTATATATAATTAATATATGAAATATAATTTCTAGGTCCCTGTACGGGCAGTAATCAATATCAGTTTATTTAAAATTATAAAAATATATATTAAATCTAATTTTTTTAATATAAAATTAGATAATACCACTTTACTCTACTGGAGAAAGATTATTATATAAAATTATATTATAAAAAATATAATCTGGCAGCAGTCTTTATAAATAATATTTATATAAAAATATTTCTTCTTCTTTCTTTTATTTATTTTTTATAATTTTTTAATTTATATATCTAGTAAGGCATGAGCCAGAACAAGAAACTCTATTAAAATAATTAAAAAATATTAAAATTCTTGTTAATCTCATCTACCAGCTAGTAATCTTTTTAATAAAATGAATTAATTTATTACTTATAATCTTCAGGTGAGCACTAATCTAAAAATAATAAATATTAAAAATCTATATTAACTTATTATATAAATTAAGCACTTTCAGTAATAAATACTAATTAAATCTTTAAACAGGTTTCCAGAATATTTTTAATATTTTTTATTTATCTAAATAAACTTTCTAAACAAAAAAAATTATAATTATTAATATAGTTAATCTCTGCTTTATATACAAGAAAGCCAGATCTTGCTTAATTAAATAAAGAATTAATAATAAACTAACTATATTTATAATAAATACATTTTACTTTATTTAAATATCAAGATAAGTCTACTAGATTTATAAAAATTCTAAATATATAATAACATTATTTATATAAATCTAGAAAACTTTTAAAGCAAGTAACTGCTCTTGTACAATATATTTAAAAATAAATTATTTTAATTTTAATTATAAATACCTGCAGGAGCGCCACCACAGAAAGATTAATTATAAAATATATATTTTAAAATCTTATAAACTAATATCTGTATTTAGAAAAAAAAATTTATTAATTTAAATAAACTGTGCTGCAAGAAATTAAAATAAGAATAATAATATTTAAGAATATTTATATATATAAAAACACTTATAATCTCTATTAAGTATTTAAATATTCGGGACCTATAATTATTTTAATATTAATAATAAATATAATTTTATATTATATATATTCTTATTAATCATATAAAACCTCTAGAAATTAATTTACTTATACATTTTTATATAACAGTCAAGATCTAGATCTATTTATTATAATGTTATTTAAAATCTCAGTAAAAAATATATATTAAACAGAGATTATATATTATATAATTAAAGCTATACAGGCTATATATATGTACTATAAATCTTTTAATTAAAAGCTGTACTTAGATTCTTCAAATAAAATAAGAATTTATAAATATTTTATAATAAGTATATTAATATTAATAAAATACTTTATAAAAACCAGTTACTGATCTAAAATAGTTTTAAATAATTTAATTAACTTTTATACAGGAACTACCTAATCTTTAAGAATTAAAAATTTATTATAGTCTTTATAATTTATTTTTAGAATAATAAATCTCTCCGTCCGCCTGTTCCACAGGAAGCAAAAGTAAATTAGTAAAAATTTCAATAATATAAATATTAATATATATATAATAATTACTATATTATATTATTATAAAATCTTTATTATAAAATATTATATTTTTACTTTTCTGTGGAGCCCCTTGTAATTAAATTTATATGAATAATATATTTAATATTATTTATATTATTTAATAAATTTTCTTATATCATAACATCCGCATTGAAAAAAATATATAAAATTAAAAGAATAATAACTTTTATATGATATATTATCAAAGGCCCTGAAAATATTTAAGAATGAAATAAAAATAATATTCTCTGTCTTTATCTAATATATATAATTTTTAATATAGTATATAAAATAATATCTGTATCTTAGTTTTTATTATTTTTAAGATAATTATTTAAAAATAGTTTATAAATTTTAACTAAATAATTCAATCAGTTAACTAGCAGGACTTTTATAATCTTACTGAAAATATTGAACAGAATAATTATTTTATAAATTTTCAATATTAAATAATTAGATTTACTAGATTTATAACCAACTATTATTTCAATTTTATAGAATTAAATAAAATAATAACTAATCTTAATATAATAGTTAAAAAATCTATTAATATAAAAATTAGAATCTCTAAGATAGCTTATAATATTCAGTTAAAAACTATATATAGATTAGAAGTTTTATCGAATTTAAATATCTAAATTAATTTAAAATAATAAAAATTATTGATATCATCAAGATTAACTACTAGAGAAAATAAATAAAAATTTTTATCTTCTCTTATGGAGAATAATATATGTTATTTAATATTTTTAATAAATATATACATATTTAATAAAGTTTTTATTTTTTAATTTCCTACACTGCTTTCTATATAAAAATTATATCATTAATATTTATTATTTATTATTAATAAATTATTTTATAATTTTTATATACGGTATATTTACATGCCGGGATATTTTAAAATATATAATATATATTTACTTCAGAGTCTCACAGCCAAAGTATATATAATAAATAATAATATTTTACTTAAGATACTTATTTAACTACAGTAATTCTCAGCAGGTCTTATTGAAATCAGAGCTTATTTGTTAATTTAAATAAGTCTAAAAAACTTTTTAATTAATAATCAGAATAAAAACTCTTATAATACCTGTAATATATTAGTCAAGCTATATAATATCTCCTGTATTCAAGGTTAGTATTAAGATTAGTATTAAAATTAATTATTATAGCAGAATTAGTAGATACTTACAGATAATTTTATTCAATATAATAGAATCTAGAGTCTTCTAATTCGAGCAAAATTAATTCTAATAAAATAGAAAGAAGATAGTAAACTTAATCTTTATTAATAAATAATCTAAGTCTCTGTATATATTTACTATATATATATATATCTAATTTAATTATATTTAATAATCTTATTTATAATTCATTAATATTAGTTATATATATTTTTTATTTTTATTTTTTATTATTTCTCCAGTAGAAGTTAACACAGTGATAAAATATTTATTAATAAATAATTTAATTTAACCAGAATATTATGAATTTTTTTATTAATTTAATAATTTTATAAATCTGTAAAAGGATGTAAACCAGTATTATCAAGATATGAAATAAGAAAATTATTAATTTATATATAAATTTATATAATAAATCTATTAGTGGTACGCCCAGCTTTTAAGATTATATATAAAAAATTTCTAAAATATTTTAAAAATTTGAATATATATTTTATAATTATAATATACTTATAAATTATTAAAAATTAAATATTAAACCAGTGTAAAATAATTGAAGTCAAATAAAAAATATTAAAATATTACTCTGAAAAAGTCATAGTAATTTAAATAACATAAAATCCCGAAACCATAAATTGATATCTAAATGGAATTTAAATATAATAAAAAACAAGTCTTGAATAAATTACTTTATATTTAATATTAAGTATTATTAATACTAAAAATTAAAATATATAATAGCTTGCTGTCCAGAGAGTATAATATAATTAAAAATCAAATATTTTAACTTCATATATAGCAGTAATACTAGAACCCTAGTTATAAAGAAGATTTGACTTTATTAATATAAAAATAATAATTAATATATTTAAAGGATCCGTACTTATGTGTATTTTAATAAATTATAATATATAAAGAAATTTTATTTATAAATTATAAATAAGATAATAATTAAATTTACTAAATTAAGTTCTTTGTTATATAAAGACTTTAGATAAATATTATATATTTTTATATAAATAATATAATCTTATAGTCAGTACCACAGACTATAAGAATAAGAAAAAAACTATTTAATAATAACTTAATACTGTGGATATATAAGATTTTAATATAATATTAAATATATTCTAGCTATAAAATCAAATTCCTGATATTAATTTAAAAAAATTAGTATTACTGTATATAAAAGATATATTCTAAAATAATTAATAAAAGAAATTTCAGTATTACTATTTAAAAAAAGCTTATATTGATATTATATAAATCTATATAGATTCAGATATTACTTGTATATAAATAATAAAATATAATAATAAAATAAATATTATAAAGGATGCCATGCCAGAGTTTTTAAATAAAAATAAATAATTTTATAAATTTTTTTAAAAGAACAAGTAAGCATTCTAGTATTATACTCTAATTATAATTATATAATTAAATCAAAGATAGAAAAGTAACTTCTATATTAATTAATCAATAATTTATTAAAAACTAAGTTTTAAGTTTTATATAAATATATTATAATTATCTTACAGCAATGATAGAATTATTTTTCTTAAAATCTAGTAAATATATTTATTTTATTTATTTCTAAGAAAAATAATATATTATATTTTTATATAAATTGCTGGAGATTAAATATAATTATTATTAAAAATTATTATTTTTTATTATTAATTAATAAGATAATGGACCACCTTAATAAAATAAGAATTTTTCCTAGATTTAATTTATATGATATCTACTATTATAGTTAAATAAAAAAAATAATAAATAAAAAACTGTTTTCATACTTATTATAGCTATTATAAGTATATTATCATATTATTTAATTTAATTGATATACTTGCTATATTCTAGAAGTATATAAATTATATATTTTAATAATATTCTTAGATATTTATAAAATTATAAGAAATATATTAAGTATATATAAGCAGTACTAGATTATTTAAAAAAAATATCAGCTGGTAATAAAGATTTTTAATTATAAATTCTATATATAAAAGATATATTATCTAGAATTTAAAATTAACCCAGGAAGAGTCTTAATAAAAAAATAAATTAATATAATTTAATTATAATCAGAATCTAAAACTGTATATAAAATCCTAATCTTTATAAAATTTATAATTTTTTATCTTACTCTTCCCCTCATTGAACTCAAATTTAAAAAGAAATTAAATTTCTTATAATAATAAAATAAAATTATTAATAATATATATTTCTGGACTAACCCTCAAGCCTACTAGCTAATATAAAAAAATATTTAAAAAATTAAAAAAGGTTTTTTAAAGTATATTATTTTTTATAGTATTTTAATCTAGTATTACAGATTAAGTTTAAAATAGACTTATTAAATTTTATAATTAGTATAATTACATTATAATTATAAATAGAAAAATTCTGGTATCTTCTTATATTTTTCTCATGGAAAATAATAGATATGGAATTTAAATATTTTATAAATAATTTTTAATTATAGTAAAATCTAATTATATTAATCTTAGAATTTTTTTAAATCTTATATTTAAAAAGTTAAGCCCCCGGCAGACTAGGTAAAAAAAATATTTATAATATTGAATTTTATAATTAAGTACCAGGTCGGGGAGAGAAATCTTATAAATATATTTAATTATATTTAGATCTTATTTTCTTAGAAAAGAAGATAAGATGAAATTTATTATTACTTCTTTTATAAATAAAGCTATTAAAGAATTTAATAAATTAAAAAAATAGATAGATTCTTTTAAAAAATACCGGCAGGAAGTAGCTCAAATGATTATATAAAAAATAAAATAAATATTAGAATATATATTTATCGAAGCAAATACCTGCAGGTATTAAAATATATTTATAAATAAAAAAATACTATTAATAATATAGAAATTTTAGATTTCTTAATATTATAAATCTATATATATATATAGTAATTAGATCTAAGACAGTATATCTAAATCTATAAGATTTTGTAATAGATCTGCTTTATAAAATACAGGAAAAAATTTATAAATATAAAAATAAAAAATTAAAATTCTTATAAATAAAAAATAAAGTAATCTAATCTGGAAAATAAATAAGAAAATTTTATTTAAAAAAATAAATATATAGTAGACCTGGCTAGCTTAATAAGATAAAAATATTATTAATAAACCATGATATATTAAAAAATAATTATAATTAAAAATAATGTATTTTAAAAAACATTTAATATAAATATTAATAGTATAATATATATACTGAAGTAAAAAGATATATAAAAATATATAATTTTCATTAAAGAATCTAAATCTATTATTATATATTATATAATAAACTAGAGCCGCTACTATAATCTAGTAAATCTAAAAAAATAAGAATTATAAATTTTATTACAAGCTTATCTCCAAGTAAATAATAAAAAGGATTTATGATATAATTCTAAAATATTACATATATATACTAAATTTATATTTTATTTATTATATTAGAAGAATATTATAGCTTTATAATTTATGAAACAAATATATGAGTGTACTATACCTATCTTTAAAAATAAAGAAATTAATAATTAATAGAAAAATTAATAATTACTAGAAAAATTATTTTTATAAATAAATATTAAATGATTTTATATTATTATATAAATACTTGCAAAAAACTGTTAACTGTATCTTATTTTTAAAATAAATAAATAAATAAAATATTAAAATCAGACTTTTAAATATTATTTATAAGTCTACTTAAATTTCTTACAGGATAACTAGACTTGATGATTTTTAATAATCTAAATAATTTACAATAATATAATCCATAGTACTATAAAAGCTATATTTTATAAAATACTAATAAATTTCATATTTTAATTATAACTTAATATAGACTAGAAATTCCCCTCTGGTAAAATATTTATAATAAAAAAACAAACAGATATTTTTATTAAAATTAAAAAGATATTAAAGATCTCACTAAATAAGATAAAAAATAATAATAATATAATATAATTATAAATATAAAAAAAAGATTTTTTAAATAAGACAAAAGCTCATGGTACAGGCTAAAAATATTATAATGACTTATTTAAATATAAGACTTAATTATTAATAAATTAAATCTTTTTTAATGATTTATACCTGAGGATTGCAGTTATATAAATTATAATTATTATTAAAATATAAAAATCTATATCTAGTCTTTCATATTCTATTCTTAGAATCCAATTATTCCTGAATAGGTAAATTTTATTAATAATATTAATATTAATTAATATGCATCAGAAATAGCTGGTAAAAAAGATTCTTATATATAAAATAAAGAAAGTTTAGAAAGAGATTTTAATATAATAATGAGATTATAGCTTTAAGAAAAATATTCAAAAACTTTTTATAAAGATTAAAGATATACAAGTCTACCAGAATTAATTATCTTAACTAAAAAAAAAGTATTTAATTATTAATAAAAATAATATATACAATTTTTATTATATATCCTTCACTATTATTTCTATTTTAAATTATTTTTTATTATATTTTTTTTCTACTAGCAATCACGCATTATAGAGGATATATTATATATATATAATTAAATTATTATTCAATAATTAATTAATTGGAAGAGAAAAATATTAAAAAATATTAAAATATATTTAATTATTTATTTAACCATGTAACAAACACTAAACTAATCGAAATAATTAATATTATGTAAATTAGCTAACTTATATTTATATATTATTTTTATATAATTATACATACCTCAACAAAGCACCCTAAATATAGAAAAAAAAAGAGAATAATAATAATAAATTATATATTCTTATTACTCCTGCAGCTGAATTTCTGCAATTAATAAATTATATACTGGAAGACTGATATTATTATCTTAAATTTAATTAAGTGTAAGATATCGCCAGGCTATATCTAGTAATAATAATGAGTTTTTATAATAATAGCTGTTAAATAATAATATATACTAAAAATTTATTATATAAATCAGTTAATATTCATATCTAATATATCTAATATAAGGGAATTACTTACTGATATATAAAAATAAATAAATTAAATATCTTTTATATTTAATATGACCGGCAGGAATTATATAATAAAGATTATTATTAAAATAAAATTTTATAAAAATATAATATTAGTAATATTGAAGACACGGGGCACAGACATGGTATATAAAATAATAATAATAACAATTATAATAATTATAATAATTATAATAATAAAGATAAGTATAGCAGGCGAGACAGATATAATAAAATTAATAATAATAAAAAAATTAATTATAATGATAATAATATAAATAACAGTATAGATACAGGCAGTATATAAAATATAAGAAACATAAGCTATTTTTATTAATTTTTTTATTAATTTTTTGATAAATAATTATATTTATGGCCACGCACTTCCAAAAAAGAAGAAAAAAATTAATAGTCTAATATAAAAATATATATAAATAAGCTATCTATATAAAAGAATATAAGCAATTGTGATAGAATAACCCAGCTATCAGGATAAAAGTCATCGGGATAATATATTATAATAACTATAAAAGTTATAAGATTATTAATAGAGATTCTATATCTTCCTGATATCTATAAGATACCGATCCCTTTATAAGAAACTACTAATCTCTCAAGAATTAGTCTATCTTATAAATATAGGCTATCTTTGTTATTATCAGATAAATATATAATATTTAATAGCTGATTTCTTACTTAATTAACAGACTTTCTATCTTAATAAGTAAATCTTATTATATTCTAATTCTTTTTTTTAATTACTTAAGAAAGATGCTACCCATTGAAGATAATTAAAAATAAAAATATTTAAATATTTAATTAATCTAGAATTATTGTTAAATACTATTCCCATTATTAAAGAGATTTAATAATTAAAAGATTATATTTATCAATTAAAACAAGCTACTAATTTATAGTAAAAAATAATTTATTTTTAAAGAAATAATTTTTTAAATAAAATATTCTTAAGATACTACTGATCCTTCTCTAAATTAGAAAAGAATAAAAAAAATTAAGTTTAAAGATATCTCTTGCTTTACTCTGAATTTTAATTTTTAATAATATTAGAAATAAATTAATGATTTATAATATATATTTAAATATATATCTAAAAAATATTTATCAGAGAAATACAAGCTTCTTGTTATTATTAATTATATAGATTCAATATATAAACAGAAATGGTACTTTTTCATAGATAATAAAAATTTAAAAAAAAATAATTTCTTTAAAATATTAATTTTAATTTAAAATACTGTTATTTTTTAATTAAATATTATAATTTAATTTAAATAGACTCACCAGTAATACAGCCAGGATTTAAGAAAATTTTATATTTATTTTAATATTCTAAAATAATACTTTTTTTTGTTAAGCAGAAAAGGAAAAAGTTTTATTATATTTTATTAAATTATTTTTAAATTTAAATTATTATATTTAAAAGTATATTCCACATTTACTAGAGAAGTAGAATAAAATAGTAACTATTATTATTTATTATTATAAACTATAAAAATACAGGGAAATATAAATAAAATAATAATTAAATTAATATTTATAAATTATATAAGTACTTTTAAGAAAATATTAATAAATTAATTTAAAAAAATATTTTAAACCACAGGAACAATCCTGTTGGAAAAAATAATAATTAATTATAATATTTTATATACAAAAAATATTTAATATCTTGTAAACTAATATTTTATTAAAAATAAAAAAAATTTAATCTGCTAGAACTTACTAATATTTATTAAATTTAAAGAAAAAAATAAAGAAGTTAAAATAGATTTTATAATTTTAAAATTTTTTATTTATAATAAAGACTATATATTATTTCTATATTTTTATTTATATTTGAAATAACTTTGAAATCTTTACAGATCTAGATAATTATCTTAAAATAAATATTATTAATTATTAATTTATTAAAATTTATAAACTCTACCACACCCCAATTACTGTGTCTTAAATTAAAATTATTAATAAAACTATTATTTTTATTTATAATATATAAAAGATTTTTATTATTATTATTAATTTATGAGGAAGGATCCGTGCTTTTATATAATATTATATAAAAATTAATTAAAATTTTTAATTAAATAATAATCTAATATTATTCTTGATAACTATGCTTCAGGATTTATATATTAATCTATTAGCCTAGAATTATTAATAATAATTTAATATATTATTTATCTTATTTTTTTCTGTTATTTAATTTACTAAAACTACTTGAAATTCTGCTAGAGTGTATACTGTTATTAAACTTTTTAAAAATATTTAATTATTAAAGAAAAGTTTTATAATTTATTATTAAATTCTGAAATAATTTCTGTTAAATTTAAGTAATTCTAAAATATTTTTTTTATAAATTTTTTTTAATAATTATCTTTTTACGGCCCTGCGGATTATTTTATTAATATTAAGTTTAATAAAATATTCTCTTATAATCTAATATATTTTCTATCTAAAACTGAACTCAAGATCTTATAAAAATAAATTAAAAAAATTTAAAATTAAATTAAATTTAATTTTTAAAAAGTTTTATTGGTGCCCCTATTCTTTTTATATTTAAAAAAAATAATAATTTATATCTTTATATAAATTATAAAAGTTTTAATAAAATTTCTATTAAAAATTATTATTTTTTATTTTTTATTTTAAAGATTCTTGATAGGGTTTCAGAGAGTATAAATTTTTATAAAATTAATATTAAAAATATATATTATTAAATCTGTATTAAAGAAGGTGATAAATAAAAAATAATATTTTATATTTAATATAATTACTTTAAATATATAATTATATTATTTAGATTAATTAATATTCTAGTAATTTTCTAAAGCTACATGTATACTATACTTTAAGAATTTCTTAATAATTTTTATATAATATATTTAGATAATATTCTTATTTTTTACCAGATAAGAAATCTTATATAAAATATATTTATTAAATCTTAAAAAAATTTTAAGAAGCTCAGCTTTATATAAAATTATTAAAATATTTATTTTATTAATTTTAAGTTAAATTCCTGGAATATATTATTAATCTTAATAAAATATTTATAAATCCTTAATAAATAAATAATATTATTTTATAATTAATTTTTTAAAATTATTATAATATTCAGGTCTTCCTTAAATTCTGTAATTTTTTCTAATAATTTATTTAAAATTATTCTTATATTATATTATTTCTTATTTCTTTGTTTTATGGAATAATTAATAAATAAAAATTAGAAAAAATGTATTTAATTTTAATTAAACAGACTGCTTTCTACTGTTTAATTATTACTTTTTAATAAATATTTTTATTAATATATTTTAATCTTATAAAATCCTGCTATTTAGAAACTGATATATTAAAGAGAAAAATAAATAATATTCTATTCTAATCTAATATTAAAAGTATATTTTATCTAGTTATATTTTAGTCTTATAAATTTTTTAATATTAAATTAAACTATGGTACTCCAGATCAGGAGTTATTTATAATTATTTATTTTTTTAAATAATAGGAATAATATCTAGAAAATACTTTCTAAATAATTAAGATCTTATTTAATTATTTAAATTTATAAATTTTTATATATTAAACTAAGATTAATAAAAGACAAGCTTAATAACTTATAAATCTAATCTCTTATAATTTTATTATTAAATATAAAATAGAAAAGTTAAACCTAGTAGATAAGTTTTCTATATTATTTTCTAGATTTTAAATAAAATCTATTTTTTAAGAGGAATTATTAATCCTAATTTAAAAATAATTTATAAGTATATTATTTTTAATAATAAAAAATTTTATTAAGAAGAAAAAATTTAATTTAAATTTTAAGATATACAGGATTACCCTGGGTTTAATACTTATATTATATTAAATCTAAAAAATTCCAATAATTAAGCTGGTATAAAGATAACTAACTGAATTATTTAAAAAAATTTATTTTAAGAGAGATTTATTTCCTAATCTGTAGTATTATAAGTGTGTACTATAGAAATTCTATTTTAAATATATATAATTTTAAATTTTAAAAAATAATTTTATATTTATAAAATAAAGATCCAGAGATTTAATAATAAAAAACTATTATTTAATAATAATAATTAAATTAAAAGTATTAGACCATCAAGATAACCGGTTATATTTATTTTAAAAATTAATATTATATTTTATTCTTTAAGATATTATATTAAATATTTATTAAATTACATTATAATGATCTGTTAGCGGGATACTTTAAAAAAATTTAAATAAAAAAATTATTCTATAAAAAATTCTACTAGAACAGATTACAGCATGATATAATTAAGTATATTTAAATTTATTTATTTAATATATTAAGAAACTATTATTTTAAAGTATTAATTATATAACAGTCTTCAATTATTACTGATTTTATCTTATTTTTTTATTAAATTGATAATAGATTCTATCACAGGACTGCCTTTTATTATTTAATATAAAAAAATTATTAATACTATTCTTATTATTATTAATTAGTTTTTAAAATATTATTTTTTTTATTTTATTTATAATAACTGCACCAGACCTTGCCAAATTATTTTATTAATAAATTAAACTAATTTTTGGATCTCTGAATAAAATTATATCTAATTAAAAATCTATTTTTACCAATAAATTCTAGTTAAATTTAATTTATAATAATTATATAATTTTAAAACTTTTAACAGTATTTTATTTCTAAATTAATAATTAAATAAAATAAATAAATTAAACTCTTAAATATTATCTCTAATATTATTCTAGTTAATATAATATTAACTAGACATCTATTTTTCTAAATATTTAATTTATTTATAATAATATTAATAATATAATTACAGGTTAATTATCTTATAATATTCTTTATAATTTCTTACCGGACTTTTATATCAGAATTAAGAATAATTCTTAATAATAAGATCCTAGTTATATAAGATAAAATTAAGAAGCTTAAGAAAATAAAAAAAAAAGCTATGAAAAATATAAATAATTATAAAAAAATAAAAAATTATTATAATAAACATAAAAGGCTATTCTTCTTTTAAAAAAATTCAATAGAATTATTAATCTATAACTTATAACTTAAAAAATCAAGAAAACTAATCTTAAAATTTATAAAATCTTTTTAAATTTTTAAATATATCAGTTCCCAAGCATACCGCTTATATTTATCTAAGAAATATAGATGAATCTATAATATATTCTATATTTTTTTACTAAGATTATAAAATACTAGTTAAGATCATGAAGAACTGCTCTTAATATCTAAACTAAATAATAAAAATAAATAAAAAATTAAGAAAATTAGAGATTATTAAAGATTATTAATATTAAAATAGCCAAGACTATTACCTGGCCAAATAAAAAAACAAATTAAATAAATATAATTAATAATTTTTAGTAAAAATATAGAGATTATATCTGAAGCTATAAAATAATATTAAAAATCTTATAAAAAGTATCATACATCAAGAAAATAGAAAATAATTATTAATAAATTATTCTATACTCTTAAAGAATAAATTATAAAAATATTAATTTCTTAATATTTCTTATTAATTATATTATCACAGACTGTATATATTAATATATATAAAATTATTTTATTATAAGATAGCAGAAAATATTTAAGCACATCTAATTATATTTATTATTTATTTATAAAATAAATAATAATAATAACCAGGTCTTTTTATTATAATTCAGGAATATTTACAGGAAAAGTAAACTTTAAAAGAAAAATATAAAAATTTATAGTTAATTTAATAATATTATTCTTATTATTTAAAGCAAATTTATTAATGTCTAGATATTAGATATATACTATAACTCTTATTAAATTAAGAAAATTCTGTAGAATAAAAATTTAATTTATATATTTTAGATTACCGGGCAGTAAATATAATAATATTTCTATTTTATAAATATAATAATCTTTCTGTAAAATATGGAGGCTAGAATAAGAAATTAATTATACTAGAAAAATATAGCAGATTTTAATAATCTTAGTATACTTAATAATAAATTTAAATAAAATATTAATAATAAGATCATGAAGATCTTATTTTTTAATTATAATAAAAATTTATATACTTAGTGGTTTTAGTACTCTTTAATAAAAATTTATAAATATAAATATTTTTTATATTATTAAATATGTTTATAAAAATATAAATCTTTTTGTAAATAATTTTATTAAAATTAATAATATTAATTATCTGCTAGATGCAAAGGCATCTATTTTTTATTATCTTTAATTTAAAAAAAAGAATTTATAATTTAATAAGTTTTACATATTTTAGATAGTATATACAGAAGTTATAGCAGATTTTAATAAAAATATTTTACTTGGGATGTGCCTTTCCCTTAATTATTATAAAATAATTAAAAATAAAACTAATATCTGATAGAGAAATAATAATAGTAATATAAAATAATAATTAAATATATAGGAAATAATTACAAATAATTAAAAAAGTAATAACCATGAGATAAAAAAAAAGAAAAAGAAATAATATAAAAGATTTTCTTATTTATACTTCTTTGCAGGGGATCTACCTATATAAATATAATTAAATATTTATAAGATTATACAGAAACAGTATATAATTTTATTTATATTATATATTTTATAAATTTCTTATTTTTTTTATTAAATCTTTACTGTTCCGAATCAGGAACACATGAGGCTATTTTTAATATCTAAATTAAATAATCTATTCCAGCAAAGAAAAATATTTTTTATAATAAAATAATCTAGTTATCAGGATAAAAATCATCAGGATGATATATTATAATAATTATAAAAATTATAAAATTATTAATAAAGATTTCATATTTTTCTAATATCTATAAGGTGCTGATCTCTTTATAAGAGACTATTAATTTCTTAAGAATCAGTCTATCTTATAAATATAGACTATCTTTGTCATCATCAGATAAATATATAGTGTTTAGTAGCTGATTCCTTACCTAGTCAACAGGCTTTCTACTCTGACAAGTAGATCCTATCACGGCAATATAAAAAAAATATCAGAAATTATTATTGTTAAGTAAGTAAACCAGTATGGTAATATATTATAAATAAAGAAGATTATAAGAAAAAATAAAAAAAAATCTTTAATTTTATATAATTCATTATTATAAATTATATATAATAAATAATAAAATTATTTATAAGCAAGTTTTTGTTTACTAGAATATAGAGCTGCGAGATTATATTTATTACTTTATATTAGTTATTACAGATATATATATAATATTATTCTTGTATATAAAATTCCAGAGTAAAAGAATATATTATATATTAATAGCAGGGAAGATTATAACTAGAATATTCTAATTAATTAGATTTTTATAATTTTCTAATTTTCTAATTAAAAAATATATAAAATTATATAAATTTCTTTTTAACTAGACGGACACAACACAGTCTCTAGAGAAAAGGAATAATATTAAAGCAGGTCTGCCGGCTTATTATAACCTGGCAAGTTATATAAGTAATATATAATTATAAATCATGTGTATTAGATAAGATTATATAATCTATTTTTATATTATATTTTACTAGTCTTTCTAATACTGCGGGAGGCCAGTGATCAGTTCTAAGCAGAATAGTAGCTAGTGTTCGCGCATATAATTGAACTTATCACATCTCCTACATCGCTCCTAATATTTAGTCTCTGTAAAAGGAAGAATATTAAATCTTATT